CAGCTCAAGCGCCGCCAGTCTGATCTGGAGCAGAGCAACGTTGTCCTCCGCAAGCAGATTGGCGAGATCCGAGAACAGCTGGCCATGGCGGAGAAGGCCCTCCCAGCGACCGACCTGGCCAAGCTGGCCGAGTACGACCGTGAGGCTGACCCACTTCTATTCTCCGCCAACTGCAGCTCAATGGTGGCCAAGAATGCGGTCTTGGCTAGCCTTTCAGAATGGTTTGGTGCCTCCACAGTGGCGCCCGAATATTTGGAGCTGGTCGGCGGCGCGGAGGTCCCATCCAAGCGTTTCTTCCTGCGTGTTCGCGGTGATGCTGGAGTTGGTGGAGCCCGCGCCCTTGCACTGGCGCGCGCACTACGACTCCCTGGCGGCTCCTGGAGATCCTTCCAAGTCAAGACGCCCGACGGGCGACTGGTGCCACTCCACGTGGGTGCCGACAAAGCCCCTCGTCAGATCCGTCGAGAGATGCACACCAAGAGGCTCCTCTCCTTGCTGCAGCAGTCCTTTGCTTCAGGACGTCGTGACTGGACTGCCATCCGCCCGAAGGGCATCATCAGTGTCAACGCAGTGCCCATCATTGAGGTCGTCCCACAGGGCTTCCATGAGCCCTCGCGGATATACTGGCACCCCGAGACCACACGCTACATCAGCGACGACGAGCGGCAGAAGATCATCGACCAGTTCTGTGAGGCCACCACCTTCAACACGGAGGTCGACACCTCCACCTGGTCTTGTTCCTAGCCCACGCTGGACGCCCTGGGTGTTGACTGCTCCCCAGGGCCAGGACTCTGGCACCACTCAGGCGCTCCGCATCGCATCGTGGAATGCCCAAGGGCTTCTCTGCCAACGTGCTCATCGCCGCAACAATAAGATGCAACGACTCTGCAAGCTTCTCCAGATGCGCATGCTGATTGTCGTCCAGGAGGCGCACGGGTCAGAGATCAAGCTGCAGACGCTGCTGAACCAGACGCCCTACCATTACCGTGCCGTCATGTCCGCGGGTGACTCCCCTGGGGCTGGCGGCGTTGCCTTCCTGATCCCCTGGTTCTCTGAGGCGGAGCTCGCGACGCTGGACCCTCAGATGCTCCCTTCCCTCTCCCTGGACTCCGTGATCGATGGCCGCGTCGCGGTCCTCACCATCAGCAATCTGACCAACAACGAGCACATCAAGATCATGAACATCCACAACCATGAGTTGCCTGCAGCCAAACTTCCTCTTGTGCGCCATCGCTGGCTCGACGGGGCTGCATGGGCGCAAAGTGACGAACGACATCGCATTTTCATCGCTATCGGGGACTTCAATATCGCTGACATCGAGCCGGTGCACCTTTCATCCCCGAGCGCGACCTCGACCTCGGCACCAACACGGGGTACTGGGCGACGGAGAGCTCCTGCTACCTCATCCTCATCCTCGTCTTCTTCCTCGCACTCCTCCTCTTCGGACTCCTCATCGGAGTTGGCTAGGGGCGACTACCGACGAGCTGGTGGCAACAGCCGATCGGTCTGGCACCGTGGCAACCAAGCACAGGGCTTCTGGCGCAATCTCTTCCAACGGGACATGGTGGAGGTCGTGTCCGAGCTTCCCACCCACTACTCCAAGCGCCACCAGTCGTGCACATTCATCGACAGGGCCTTCATCTCTCTGAAGTCGCACTTCCTCCTGGACACCTCCGTCACATTCGAGATTTGGCAGGAGGCGACCTCCCTGGCGGACTGGGGTCTCAGCGATCACGCCATCATCCAGCTGCGGATCCAGCCCCGCACTGCAGCCGCCCCTGACGATCGTGCGATCCCCCAGAGCGTCTTCCACTCGCCACGGTTTGCCAAGCACATCACCAACCTGCTCAACCACTCCGACTTCACGAACATTGCGGAGGAGAATCGATGGTCCGAGGTGAAGCTGCAGATGATTGAAGCTGCCCGCATCACCCGCAATGAGCTCCAGGCCCTCCCTATCGGTGATGGCCATGCTGAAGCTCTTGAGGGTCGCAGAATTTCGACACGCGCGATTGCAAGAGCCATATGGAGGCAGGACATGCACCTCGCGCACAAGCTGATCCACTCCACCGCCATGGGCCGACTGCACCTCACCATCGATGGCGACAACCGCATCCTGCTGGTCAATCCCCCTGCATTTGAGCGAGAGTGCATGGACCTTCATCTTGCCTGGCACGAACAACAGCAAGCTGCAGCAGCTGCCAGACTTCGTGAACATGCTCAAAGGCAGCTTGACGCGGGCGACCCCACCATCCAGCAGTTGCGGAAGATACAGCGCGCTGCTCAACGGCGCGCCCTCCTTTGGATACCATACCGTCGTCGGCTGGTGCTCAAGGGTCTCCGCATGGATGGCGAGGGACACCAGGCAGGCATTGAGCGTCACCCGACCATGATCATGAATGGCCTGCGCCAGCACTGGCAGCCCACGTTCACCGATCGCCCAGTCGACATCAATGCGATTGACGATTACCTGCGCACTCATCTCCCTGAGTTCGACAGCCCCGCCCTGGAGGTTCCTTCACCAGCCGCTCTTCGCGCAGCGCTGCTTCGAGCCAAACCCACTGCACCTGGACCTGACCGACTCCCTGCGGCCGCCTGGCTGGCGGATCCAAGATTGGTGGACATCCTCTATGATATGATGATCGGCCTGTACCAGGGCAGGGGTGCGCCGCACGGCTTCAACTTCGCGGACATGGTCTTCATTCCCAAGGGTGATGAGCCCTCGGACTCCGTGGAGGTGGTCCGCCATGCGTCGAAGCTTCGCCCTCTGAGCCTCAAGAATTGTGATGCCAAGGCGGTGGCCAGTGCAGCGAATCATGTGCTCGCCCCTCTAGTGGCGGCAAGAGTGCACGAGAGCCAGCAAGGCTTTGTGCGCGGGCGGAACTTCCTGTCTCACGTCGTCCGTCAGGATGCGGTCGCTCGCGCTGCCAGCCACCACCCTGAGCTGTCCCCCCTCTTTGTCTCCTTTGACCTCAGGGCCGCGTTTCCCTCTCTCTCCCAGCCCTTCCTCTGGCGTGTGCTCGAGCGTCACCGCATCCCGAAGGGCTACCTTAACGTAATCTCTGCCTTGTACTCTGGGGCTCTCGCCCACTCCCGATGTGGAGCATCCCGCCGCCCTCTCTTCCTGGTGACGTCTGGCGTGGCCCAGGGATGCCCCCTTTCTGGCACAATCTGGGCCCTCTCAATGGATCCCTTCGCCCGCCACATCCAGTCTCAGTTGATGTCGCCCGAGGCGCTGGCCCTCTGCCCGAGGCCAGAACGCTGGTGCCCAAGACTAGAGCCTGAGTGCGGTGTGACGGCGGATGACGTTGGTGCCACCCTCCCCTCGATTCGGCTCCTCCCCCTGCTCGTTCCACCCTTCACCGCCGCCCGCACTCTAGCCAATCTCGAGCTCCAGCCGGACAAATGCTGTGCCGTCCCACTAGCAGCTGAATGCACGCCCTGCGTTGCGGCGCAAGTGAGTGCGAAGATAACCGACCTGGCTCCCGAATGGGCCTCCTTCCACGTCCGTGGCTCCACGCCGTTCCTGGGGTTCGCTTTCGGTCCTGGAGCGACTCTTGCTGACCAGTGGGCCGACCCAATTCGCAAGTGGCAAAGGCGCACGACAGAGGTCGCACATAGCAGGACTCCCGCAGAGGCAAGCTGCCGCATTTACAACTTCGGCATCCTCTCTGTCCTGAGCTATGTCTGCCAGCTCTTTCCCCCTCCCCTCGCCCTCCTTCGCTCCGAGCGTCACGTCCTCCACCGCCTCCTCCGCCTCCCCCCGAATGCCTTCGGCCTGGGGGAGCTCTTGGGCCTCAGCTCCTGGCTCCGATCCTCGGTCCCCAGGTCCGTGCGGGTCCTGGCTGGTGCCTCCGCCTGGAGGACCGCTGCGTGTACCCTTCCCAGGGACGGCCCTAGGGGCTGGAACCAGGCCCTTTCGCTCCTTCGGGCCCAGGCTGAAATGCACGGACCGCTCCGAGCCTTGGGCTCCCGCGGTCTCTCGAATGCGGTGTGGCGCCGCTCACTTTCCATCGCAGAATACTTTGAGGATGTGCTGCTTTGCGGTCCACCTGGGATCGCCCGAGCAGCCTGGCGTCGGGCAGAGTCTACTGCGCGACATGAAATCGTCGACGCCGCCGCCACCGCCAGACGGCCGAGGCCTCAGCGAGCCATCTCTCTGAGTCTCCATGCGTCCCTGTATCCTGACTCTTTTCCCTCTCTTCTCGCCCGTCGTATCTCCTCTTGGTTTCCCCTTGCTCCTCCTCTTCCCATTGCCGACCTCACCAGCCGCTGGGAGGCACTCCGAGGAGTCCTCGCTCGGAGTCCCCCGGCCTGGGCTTGGGCTCACATAAAGACCCTGGCGGGGGCGTGGACCACCGCGGCTCGCATCCCGTGCGAGCCACCCCGCCAGTGCCTCTTCGGCTGCCCTGATGCTTCCGATGATTTCGCCCACTACATCTCGTGCCCCCGCCTCCTTCACCTCCTTGCTCTTCCCCGAGGCTTCCTTCCTTCCTGTCCCCTCACTCGCCTCGGGCTCGGGCCCTCGCCCGACGCTGAAGTCGAATACCCACGCGTACGTTGCCATCGCGTGGTCGTCCTCAGCTTCCATATCTATCATAAGCTGAAGGCCGACCTGGCCTCCCACCCAAGGAGGTCGGCGACGCCATCTTACCACTACGATATCCGAGCTGCCGCTCTCGCCGCAATGCGTCGATAGAGCACGCAGCAGTAGCTGAGTCACCATCACTCAAGCTACGTGCGCTCCTCCTCCTCCTCCTCCTCCTCTTCCTCCTCTTCCTCCTGCTCGCCCTGCTCGCCTCCCCCTCGTGATCCTCTTCCGCCGCCGCCGCCGACCGCCACGCACCACAACGCCGTCGACGACCGCGACGACAACGCCGACGGAGACCGAGACGACGACGCCGCCGACGACCACGCCGACAATGACACTGCCGCCGACACCGCCGACGCCACCGACACCGCTGATGCCGACGAGCATGAAGACGGCGCCGGCCGCGCAGGGCCTCCAGTCGAGGCCCGCCACGGCGGATGGCTTGCTCGGGGTCGACGAGTCGCCCACCCAGGACGTCAGGGTGCTCGCGAGGGTTGTTGATGGTGTCGAAGACGACGCCGACGCCGACGCCGCTGTCGCTGCCGCCTCCGCCGCCGCCGCCGACGACGATGACGACGACGAATTCCAGGTTCCAAGGTTCAGGTTTTGCGCGTTTCTGATCGTTTTGGGGCCTCTGAGGTTCCGTGTTGCTGCGGCTGGTGTCGCGGCGAAATCTAAGTCAGGCCGCACACCTGGAGAGATCCAGGGGCCGATTTGAGTGGAGACAGACGACGACGACGACGACGGCGGCGCCGATGACCGAGAGATCCCGGGAGCCTCCCAGAGCTTTTGAAAACCTGCGAGAGCCAGCGAGAGCAAGAGCAAAGGCAAAGGCAAGGACTCGTCCAACCCGAAGGGCAAGGGCAAGAACGGCAAGGGCCATGGGAAGCCGCACGTTCACGCGGAGAACGAGAACGGCCACGGCAAGGGCTACGAAGGGAACTTGAAAGGCCACCACGCCCCCAGGGGAGGCATGCGCGGCGCATCGAAAGGCGCCGGTCGTGCAGGCAAGAAGAACGAACTTTACGGAAAGCAAGAGGGTGGAAAATGAACAGCATGTTCATGAGGTTGATCGATGGCATGCCTCAGTGCGACCTGGCGTGCTTTATCGACTCATTCCACTTGCACTTGCAATCCGCGTCTACATATATATATATATATATATATATATATATATACATATACATACGAGCATGATAACAAGAGCTGTCGGCATCCAGTGGAAAAGGATAGGCCATGTCGCCAATATCTCAAATATCGAATGCTTTGGACCAGTTGTGCAGGAAACTTCGGTGGAGGTCTCACTTCAAGAACGAGCCTCTTGACGATCGATACTGAGCGTGAGCGCGATCGACGAGGACGGAACTCGGACCTTTTCCTAACCTTGTCCCCCACAAAATTGATGGGCTTCTCCGTACACTTCGACAGCATTTCGCCAGCTCTGCAAGCTTGCGTTCTACAGACAAGTGGGGAAGAGAAGGTCACCAACACATACAAATTGATAGACGTTGGATGTGTTCTGCGAGCTTCCAAGTGGAACCTTATCCTCACAGACCAGGACGGCGGTTTCGCATTGGCTTCACATTCTACAGTGGCTGATATACATGACGAGGCGCTTGGGGGAACAGCGCATGAAGAAATTTCGCCATTATCCGCCATTTGGAACTCAATGTGCCAGGAATATCAACCAGTAGTGGCAACCATTCGCGATAATGATGTGGAGGCACAGGCCTCATCTGTGCTACAGAGATTGGAGGGCGGTTTTCCGAGAGCAGTCGCTGACGCAGGAGAGACGAACAAACCGCACAAATATGCAGGTGATGTTACGTTTTGCATTTTGCATCATAAGCGGCATCGTGCCCTCTCAGGCATTGGGAGTTGGCTGTCCCACCATTTTCAGATAGGGTTGCAAGACAAGCTCCACGTCCTGTTCAGCACGGACATGCACACGTTCCTTCCCAGCGCCCTCGTCTGGAGATATGATGTGAATGACTTCGTCATGTCAGGCACAATAGAGGTGCTCGTGCATAGTGCCCAGGAGGTTGCCGACGCGGACTTAAAATCGACAGCACGTTGCGCGGCATCGTTCTTACTGAACCATCAGTATGGGGGCAAGCAAACACCTCCAGGACAGAGTGCGGAAAGTAGCCATAGGATCTGGCATAGGCATGGATTATTCGGGGGAGCTCTCTGACGTCTCTATTGCACCTTAGAGGCAGGCAAGGTCGACAACGCGAGGTGGATGGGAGTGGCTTCCTCCTCTACGCTCATTTCAAGGATAACATTCTCATAGTGACCCAGCGGAGTATCGAACCGCGTTACCACACACACCAGTGCCTAGCGCAGAATACCTCATGTTTTAAGTGTAAGCTTCAGTCGAATTCAGCGCGCGGCGTGGACATGTTAGACATTCATGTATATAAAGGTGAGCGCTTCCATCTAGCAGGACATATAGTTGATAGGCCCATCTGGAAGTCCACGTCATTAGGCATCCCTCTCTCATCCCTTTCGGAACACCCCAGGGGGATCCACGCTTCCTGGCCTTTCTCGGAAGTGGCGCGCCTCTGAAGACACTCGTCCGACGACGCAGTCGGGCGGCATGCTAGAGGCGTGCTCACCGCGAGACTGCGACGGCATGGATATCCAGAAACAGATCTCCACCTGAACGAGTGGATCCCCCAGCCCCAGAGTAGCAGACTAGTCCCAGTGTGCCAGGCGTCAGACTAGAGACGTTTGGTTCCGAGTTCCTTCCACAGGATCTGGGCCAGGGCTGGGATCGCTCGGGTCTGCCGTAAATTTTAGAATCTCAACTTAGCAAACGCATGTGTGAATCATATCTGGGCTCGTTCCAGATATCAAGCCTGCGTGGGTGATGCGGGCTTCGCCGATCGCTGTCAAACGCGAGAGTCTTTAGCGTGTCATAGAAGCATACGCACATCGTTGGATGGATGAGAAGGCTGGAGGCTCTTGCTTACTTATTTTTCCGTCGGTCCACAGACGTTACGTTCCAGCTTCTGCCGGTCCCCAGATGTTGCGTTTGCAATTCGCTCATTGTTGCTAACCGCCTCAGCTGGTTAAGCTTGAGGTACTCGCGGCTCTCGCCGCGCCCCAGGCCCCGTGCAGCACCAGCCTGCGGTGATTGCAACTAGTTCTTGCAGAACGAGCAAAAGTCATAATACATCGTCAAGTGTTAATCCCGAGTCGTTCCATCACCGTGTTCGCGAGGGTTGTTAATAGTGTCGACGACGACGCCGACGCCGACGTCGATGCCAACGCCAACGCCGACTCCGACGCCAACACCGCCGCCGCTGTCGCCGCCGCTTCCGCCGCCGCCGCCGACAACGACGACGACGATGACGACGACTTCTGGGTTCCAAGGTTCAGCTTCTGGGCGTTTCTCATCTTTGGGGGGCCTTTGGGGGCTCCTTGTTGCCGCGGTTGATGTCGCGGCGAAATTCAACTCAGGACGCACCCCCGGAGAGATCGGGGGGCCGACTCGAGCGGAGACAGAAACCGAAGACGGCGGCGACGATGACCGAGAACTTCCGGGCGCTTCCCCGAATCTTTGGAATCCTGCGCGGGCTTCTGAGAGCCTGCGACACCTTTCAACTATCTAATGGCCTTCAGCCCATCCCGCCACAGTGCCTGGGTTGTGGGTATGAAGCCTATTGGATGTTCGCTGTCTCGTGGACGGCCTCTCGGGGGCCTCCTGGAGGCAGTTTGGACGCCTCTTGGGGGCCGTTCTGGAGCCTCTTGGGGCCTCTTTTGGGCCTCTTGGAGGCCTCTTGGGGCCCTCTGGTCTCTTGGGGGCCTATTGCGGTTTCTTCGGGCCCTCGTGGGCCTTTTGGGGCACTCTTAGGGCGGAAGGCTCGAAGTTTCGGTTCGTGGTCTCCCTTTTGGGTCTCTCGTGGGGTCTCGGGGCCCTCTTGGGCCGTCTTGGGCGCCTTTTGCGCCGTCTTGGGGCTCTCGTGGACCGTCTTCGGGCCCTCTTGGGGGCGTCTTGGGTCGTCTTAGGGCGGTCTTGAACCTCTTGGAGCGTCGAGAAGCCGAAAAGGCGAGAAGCCCCAACTCCTTCAAAACCTACGGAAAATCAATGAGGTGTGCCTCTCGGGGCTTTCTTGGGCGGCTTCTTGTAGACCTCTTGGGGCGCCTTGGCGGCCTCTTCGTCCGTCTTGGGGCCATCTTGGACGTCTTGGAATGATAATTGGATGCCTCGGGGCCGTTTTGGACCGTCTCGACACCTGGGGCCCTCCTGGCCCGTTCGGAGCCTTCTTGGGCCCGAGAACGTCATGCTGGGAACCCGAGGGGCATCGCCAACCCCTGGGAGATTTGAGAATTTTGGGTCTGGGCCCCAAACTGACTCCTCAGTACTGAGGACTCAGGCGCAGGGGATTGTGAGGACACGCCCACTCGGTGTCAAGCGGCACAGTGGCGGATACATTCGTGGGCAGAAATCGACAACAATGACGACGACGACGACGACGACGACGACGACGACGACGACGACGACGACGACGACGACGACGGTGACGACGACGACGCCGCACAGGACGTCGGGTTGCTCGCGAGGGCTGGCCTCCGCCTCGGCTTCATGCAGGAGGCCTCGCCCCGCCAGGAGCACGGGGGGGGCACTGGCAGACGATCGCGCTAGAGGTGCGTCATTACTTTCGGCCGCACCCTCGTCGATTTTCCTCCTCGTCCTCGTCCCCCGCCCCAGCCATCCTCCTTCTGCTCTTCGTCCTCGTCCTCGGCCTCGTCCTCCTCCCGCCCTCGCCGCTGAGGATGCGTTGCGTTCACGCGTTGTGTCCCCTCCCCCCCGAGAGGAGGATCGAGGATCGAGGTTTTCGAGGGTTGGTTTCAGTCCCCCACACCCCGAGTTCGGCCCCTGGGGGTTTGCTTCGGGCTCCACAGGGCTGTCAGAGGCCGATCCGTGAGGAGAAACCGCCCAGGACGAATCCCAGGAGGGGTCCAGGGATTGGTTTCGAGCGGGCTTTCGTCGGAAACCAGGGAGCTCGCGGCTCGTGGATCGAGATCTTGTGTGGTCGTCGGCTGCATCGCTTCGGAGCTTCGTGGGCGTATCTGGAGGGTATCGTCGTCAAGGCTGGGGCGCAGCTGTTAAAGCTGGCCAGGACGGATCCCTGGTATTGTATTGCGAAGGCCTGACGGCCGGTGCCGCCGACCCTGAAGAGGACCACGACGTCGGCGACGAAGCGGGCGGAGACGGAGGCCGTGGAACAGGAGGAGGAGGAGGAGGAGGAGGAGGAGGAGGAGGAGGAGAAGAGGGCGAGGAAGATGGGG